CTAGAGGCGCGGGGAGGGGCTGGACTCACCGTCCACTAAATACAAAACCACACTCACCCCGATTTTTATGCGTTTTTGCAGTGCAGCGCTATAACTGCTACAGTGAGCAAAAACGCATATTGTAAAGTGGTCGTCCATGGGAGCAACCACTAAAACCTGGCTCGGTTCACCCGCTCCCCTTTCCTTAGGCAACTGTCAGAGGATCTAGGCCATGTAGCCATTCAACGCACTCGCCCAACCCCTTCTAACCTCTCCTGCTTTGAATCTATGCGGGCGAAACCCGATACACTACCTCCCCTCCTCTCACGCCCATTCCAACCCTCTCCCCGCGTCTTGAGCCCAACAGCCAAAAATGTGCTTATGCATTGCCAACCCTTCTCCTCCGTCCCCACTCCTGTGCCGTCTGTAGTGTTCCCCCTCCCGAACTCTTCCCGTACCCCGCATATCCGCTGCAAAAACCGGCAATACGGATCCTTCTCCTTTCCGCCCATCACTCTCCTTTCTGGTCCCCCCTGCTTAACCATGCCACGTTTCCATTCAATCACCCAACCAACTCCTCCCCCGTATCTCCAGTCCGCGCACCCACCACCTGCACACGGCAGCCCTCCCCCCTCTCCCCGCTCCCTCGTCCTCCGTCCCCCCTCCCCGTCCTCTCCCACTGCGCCATTCTCGAGTCGGACTGCAAAATCGTGTGATGGCCAAGACGAGCCGAGGTTAGTTGAGGCCAGTCAAGACAAGTTTTAGTATTATAGTTGCCCCCACGGACGACCACTTGACAATATGCGTTATTGCTCACTGTAGCAGTTATAACGCTGCACAGCAAAAACGCATAAAAATGGGTGTGAGTGTGGTTTTGTATCCAGTGGACGGTAAATCCAGCCCCTCCCCGTGCCTTTAGTCCCCGTGCCCACCACCTTCATTTTTCAAATCCTCAAATTCGTTTGCAGTTTCTGAAGTACATGCTCTGTCCTTCTCGAAAATGCGTCCACTATTTTTTGCCACGCCAATAACTTACTGCATGTGAATTCTGTAACTGCAACAAAATGTAAACGAAAGAAGCACTTTATGATTTCACAGTGAGTTCAGCTAATCAGTTTGGTACACACTTCAAAATAACGAACAGAGGGAAGGTAAGCCGTCGAAGCTTTTTATGGTGTACTGATAAGAAACATGCTTGCAGACAGTGCAGTGACATCGCACTTTCCTTTTAGTGTTGTGATATGGGTTCGAAAGTATCAGTGTTTAAAGGCTTAAATGACATAACCAGTCAC